AATCTTCGAAAGACCTTCCCAGTTATGTTCCCGGTTTTCGCGAAAAGTAGCTGATAAGGTAGGGTCCGCGGTAACGTTCGTTCATTTGCTTTGGTGTGGTGCAAAACAACAACAACAACAACAAAAACAGCTCTTTTCAAAACGTGCCCTAAAGCAAGCCGGATTCCGTCCGATCGTCGACACTGTGTATTGGATATGCTGTGTTATTCGAGACCTTTCTGAAATCCTATTCGGATAACGCGGCACCGTAGGGTACGTACAATATATGTCGTTCAATTGATGAGACTCGTTGAATTTCATGTTGTGAGCGGGAAATACCTATGCAGTTCGGCTATCCTGTGTGGTCACGTATTTCCGACAGTTAAGACCTTTGTAGATTGACGCGGCTAAGTGTATGGCGTACTCAAAAATCAACATAAAATGAAACCAACATTCCAATTGCATTTGTTTTGTTGGGCACAGACTCACAAAAAAAGCTTTCATTTCTTTGTTTTTGCTTCCAAAAATAGTACAATGCTTTCTTAAAAATCTCGAGAAATTCTATTCGCAATAGAACACGAAAGAAAAAAATAAACGCGACAATTTAGCCGCCCCCAGCGTCCGGAATTGCGCCTACGCAGGCTGCCACAGCCCACTGACGAGAAAACCCACAGCTCAGTGCAGTCGGGCAACACTGACATACACTCTCAAAACCAGGGACGCGCGCTGGAAATCGCTTCGTTCGAGACTGCCGCTGGAAAGGTCTATATGCTGAAAACGTAAATCCGGTATCCAATGAAACGTTTAGAGACAATATACATAAGCTGCAGATATCGTAAGTGTCCTCCACGTTATTTTATATTACATTAACCTGTTTAAAAATGCCATGAGGGTTCGAGGCTGGAGTCTGTGATGGTGCGGGATTGGTGATTTAGTTGGCTCACGCTGCACCTTCAAGGCGTGCTTAGCATGAGTCTTTTCTCGTCAAAAAACATTCTCAGCACTCTGCTTTTCAGCACGCTAGTGGTTCACGCGTTGTCATATCGTTTCGAGAGTTAAGGCCGGTTCAGACACTTGCGTTTGACTGCGTTGTGTCGAGAGCCGAAAGCGAGTCACCGGCACATCTGTGCTTCGTATGAAGCGTATGAAGTGTGCCAAGATGATTCAAGGAATCATCTTGGCACGCGATACAAGCAGCAGGGATGTCCTTGTTTCTCGCAGCCGCAACGCTGTCCAACGCAGTCCAACGCAACTGTCTGAACCAGGTTTTACTCGAACGAACGTATCAAAGCGTAGTCTTTCATAATCATGTACGTTTTTTGTTATCGAAGTCCCATGGGGGTACCTTATGAAAAATTTTCTCAATGAATTTGGAGTGTTTTTTTAATCCATTTTTGTTGGTATCCTCTTGGGCGTGCAAGCGCGCGCTCGCACTATCGTACTAAAGGCGCGAGCATTAAGTGCTTTTCGATCGCTCCCAATCCAGCCAGAGAATTTCACATTAGAATGAGCCTATCGGTGCTCGTGGTGACTTGATCAGCTGGTGACCATATAGACGCTTTCAGCGCGCTCCAGATTGAGCCGCCATAGCCGACCTTCTCTTGTCTTACCAAGATGTCGAGCCACTGAAGCTGGCGTTGACAAGCCTTCAGAAATGCCTATGCTAGGGAGAAGGACACAGTAACAGTTAAAATGGCCATAACCTGTCCTGCTGTGGTAATGATGAAGTGGAGCGAACGAAATAAGAGGGAACAAAAACTGAAGGTCGGTTATGGCGGCGCCCATGCGCAGTGGCCTGAAAGCGTCCATGTATATCATATCTTGCCACTATTAGGAACGCGGAACTGTGGCTTTGCTTTTTCTAAACTCCCGTCGAGCCCATGTTTAATTCACACGCTGCACCCAGCGACAGACAGTGCAACTTCCAAACAAATCTTCCGGCACGTCGCTGCTGGTGGCGATACATGTCATGTACCAGCATTCCAATCGCCACCGTTTATTTCTCATTGTCAATGGTCGTCGCGTCTCTGACGACGATAATCGCCGGCCAACCTTCATTGGGAGTAGTGCTGCGGAACCACCATCAGGTGGGAGCTCGTATGCTCCAATCATCTTGCTCCGAGCTTACACTCTTCTCTCGTCACAATATTAGTATAATTATGTTTGTTTTATATATATTTCGTTTTCGCTCGATTGCCTCGAGCGGGAGAGAGAGAGGGGGAGTGCAAACTGGATTGAGAAGAGTTTTCGAGTCCTGCTAGCGGCCGAGAGAGGGTGTGAGTCGTGGAACAAGCGGCACAGCTCAGACGGCAGGCACGAGACACGCGGACGACTTTATTTTATACTCCCATTTTTTTCCCGATCTTGCTGCTATTTTGTTGGCTGTCCAAACACGTGCGCAAAAAATGCTGCCTCTCGCGGTGCCCGCTAAAATCTCTGCAGGCGTCGCCTCTTCGATTGGTTTTATTTTTGGTGTTGTTGATGCTGTTGATGCTCTATGATGCGCGCCTTCGCCCCTCTCCCTTCGGCAAGGGTGGAGCTCCTGGTATGGTATAAGAAGGGTCGACACCGTGTCGCCCAGGTCCGAATTTCTTTTATCTTTCGGTTTTTTCGAGGAGCGAGGCCTCGTGGGCATTTCTCGTGAGCGCGCTTCCTTCCAGTCGAGCGGCACCTGGGCAGCTTGAAAGTTTTGCGGGTCCATCCGTCCATCGACCAGACCTATACGGATGCTGTGAAGTGGCCGCTTCACTGTCAAGCATGCATCTCGGGGTAAGCCGTTAGCGATCCAGTTGAGTGCGCCACTGGTGCGGGTGTCGCGACGTGCACGCTTTGGTTCTTCTTTGTCTTGGTGATCCCTCAACCTTCTGTGTGGGCCTCGCACATTTGTGAACGTTAATGCGCTCGTTGGAAGATCACACATACGCACACCGGGGTTCGTACTGACCTTTGGTTTCGTTCGTTGGACATCACAGATGAATTGAGGTTTTCCGAACGATCAATGCGGCTGCTATCGTAGTTCGGCGCCGCGCGCGGAAAGCACGCCGTTACCGACCCTTCTGATACCAGCAATCACAATAGAAAGCTCATCCCTAAGTGCCCTTAATTGGTCGATAATTCATAGACAGAGTACCAGTGACGGATGGATTACATGCTCCGAAGCCTAATTTCTCCGATGCCTGCAAGTTCGTCTGCTACTTCTGCGGGGGGTTGTGGTGACGTCAGAACGCCGAGCTCCGATTGGTTCTGAAGGAAGAATAGCGGGTAGACCTCAAGGCAGCTTGCTTTGAGGTCTATTCACTATCCTTCAATCAGAGTCAATTAGAGCTCAATGTGTTTTCTGACGACTCGCAACTCCTACGCAAGAAGCAGACGACTTGCTCTTTGCGTAGCCATGACTGCCAGGATGGGAAGGGCACAGAAGAGTTTCAGTTGTCCCGCCTCCAGCACTAGCTTCCTACCTTTGATAGTGCTTCGGCGTCAAGTGAGCCTCGAACGTGCTCGAGCAGCCGAAGCACTGTGGAAGACAACGAGCGTGTACTTGGAAGCCGCGCGTTCGAAAGAGACTCCGCGCCTTTTTTACCTTGTCAGTGACTAATAGTTTGTGTGAAAAAGTTGTAAGTTTCAATAAATGCATAAAATTGAAAGAATAAAACACAGAGGACAAGCACAGGACTCTGTGTTTATTCTTTCAATTTTATGTATTCTTTTATTCTTTCAATTTTATGTATTCTTGTTCAACCCGCTCGCCTTCACCAGTCCTTCAAGAAATGTGTGCGTGTATATCTGTGTGTATGTGGAAGGAGTGTGGAGGGTGGGTGTGTCATTTGCATACTGGTTTTATGAGAACGGAAGCTATGACAATGTACGGACTTCCTTCCACAGAAAAACTGCTAGGATCATGATATGTTTATTTTTATTTAATCTTGTTTAAGGATTCGCAGGTCAACTAAGCCTACGGCTTTGTTCATGAAAAACTTAAACTACACTCTAAGAAATGCCTGCGCGTTTACTTACCGGAAAAACACTCGAAGAGCCAATCTCTGTGATCTACGAAATCTGCTCAGCGAATGATGAGACGGAACATCCGTTTAGACCTAAAAATGAGGTCCGCGCTCTGACATTACGCAATGCAAAGCGTCATGCTTACATTGCGTAACGCCATAGCGCAGACTCACTTTTGAGGTCTAAACAGATGTTCCGCCTCATCATTCGCTGAGCTTAATTCGTAGATCGCAGAGATTGGCTCTTTGAGTGTTCTGCGGGTAAGTAGATGCGCAGGCATTTCTTAGAGTGTAGACTCTACTTGGTCACAAAGAAAGAAGCAAGTTTTGCGCATTCTTCGTGCGCTCCGCGAAGTGGTTTTGACAAGATGTGGTTGTCGAATCAATAAACGACGATATTGGCATCTGAAGCGTGCCCATCTTTATAAACTAACATATAGCTAATCTAAAATGCACCTACATTTATCTTATGTCAGCACATAAAGGTGGAAATTAGTAATGCTCCGCGGGGAGCCGGACTTTTTTTTTTATTACGATGTTGGTCTTGCATGCTTCTTGATAAACACTTGCGTTCCTAGGTTGTACAAGAAAACCTACACGAAGATAAAATAAAGAACATCCACTTTGTACCTGGAAAAAAACAACCGTAAAACATAGTGTTTATTTTTTTATCCCCCCTCAGTGGATTACCGAACCATGTGCCATTAATCACAGTTTTATGTTCCCTTCCCCCGCCTCTTGTCATTCACATTCGCAGGTTGTACTAAAAACTACCTACCGCGCTACGTGTCTTTATTTTGTGTGTGTGTGTTTATGTCTCTGGCCAAAAAGGTAGGCTAAAACAATTGCATTGTTTTAGTGAGCCCTTTTTAGGTCTCGTTTTACTTTGTGTTTTGGGCTCATTGACGCAAATGTCTTATGACACTTATTACTTATATGAACAGTTTTTTTACAACATATACAGCAGCTGAAGTAAAATGAACGACCAACCAAGTGAAGTTGCAAATAATGCCACTTAACATGGTGTCCCCAATATCTGCTGTTATACATTTCCGTGTAATAGTCAAAGTCATCAGCAAATACGTCAGGCTGTTAAACAGCTTCCTGTACGTAAGCATACTGACGCCGCCTCGGTGACTCCGAATTAAAGCGCCGGCATACGAATTCCGACATGGCGGGTTCGAATCCCGTTCGAGGTGCCCACATTCCTGACGGAGGCTTATTGCGGAAAAGGTGCCGTGTAACTTTGAAAACAGTGAATTTCAATATTGTGAAAAGGTGTGACCAAGGAAGAACGAAATTTGACGACACACACTTCAACAATTCGCTTGCCAAAGTATGATGCTCTTCTAAACCGTTTCGGAAAACTATGCAGTAAATGGCCCAAAAGACTCAAGCATGAGCCATCATTGGCCAGTGCGGAATCGAAAATTGATCCGGCAAATATGTATGACACCCGCGTAGCCGTCGACGAACAAAGTTGACGTTGTCCGATTTCCAGGTTCATGGCCGGCACTCGTTTGCCCCTTGGAAGCTGATTACTACCGACCATCCTAAAATCCTCAATCTTCCAAAGGGTCAATATATTTATCTTATGACTTGTCAAACATGTTCAGCGGCTCGTCAGAAAGAAAGAAAGAAAAATAGTAAAAATAAATCTCCAGCGCAGTCTTTAAAATATATTCAATGTTTAGAAATCGCAACGAAACGAGGAGGAAAAAAAATAAAAGAAAAAGTAATCTCGCCATCCATTACACGTTTTTATCGCGTAAGGTGCAGCTGAGCTTGCTGTGGAGAGCGGGGTGCGCGGTGGATGTTGTTTTGAGTCTTACGGGGGATCGAGACCTTGAACCGGGCTCTGTGGCCGGGGTGCATTCCCTCGAAGGGGGGCGGATGTGCGACGGTCCTTTATCGCGATCTTCGTGCCCGCAGATTTTTTTGGAAACTAAACCGGTCATTTCTTCTAGAACATCAACCCTTTATGAGAATTTGTAAGCAAGCTTAGGTTTAGAAGCTGTACTTCGTAGAGATTAGGTTCTTTAATCTTTGAGCGTAAAACAGCTTCTTTGAGACTAATCTAGTTTATGGCGGGAGGCGGGGGATTATCGTGCATGCTCCGGATTATCGATTTGTTTTTTTTTTCTACATTGCGGCCAATTAGATGTTGCTGAAATGTTATTGCAGGAAAATCCCAATTCTCTCTCCCATTTTCACTTTATACTTTTTTGTAGTGTTGCTCGGTGTTGATAGGGGAATTTAACCGCGCTTTTAGCTACTACTCTATTTTTTTAAGGTTTTATGCTACGAAAGAAAACAAACTATAAGCAATATATTATTAGTCGACATCTTGTAGACCGTGAGATGAGAAACGATAAAAAAAAAACGGACGAACACAACAAAATTGTGTGTTCGTCCGTTTTTTTTTTTTTTTATTGTTTTCTATCTTAGGGTCTACAAGATGTCGATTAATTACCAGCTCGTCTGCACTCGATCACTGCTTATTATTAGTGCCTGGATGCTGAGGTAAACTGCGCTACAGTGTGAGAAGCGTTTGGTATATCGCTAAAGAAAGGCACGGTCCTGCAAACAAAGACGGTCTTGGTTCTTTCAGGTGGCCTTATTTTGCGGGCTTGTAGCCGCGGCATTGGCTGGATCCCCTGCTGGGAGTATCGGCAGTTTGGAACATTTGGACGTGAGTCTTTATTTTTCACATTCTTCAAGATACTTGCTGAATTTACGAAGCATTCAATGAAGAGTTTGTTCATAGCCGAGTAGCATTTAACAAAGAGCAAAGTAGCGGTGTTTGCAAAAACTTTGATTGCACGCTCGTTTTCACAGCTACTTCACATGGTTGCCTTTGCGAGCCATTGCTCGAAGCTAGATAGCACGATGTTTCGCAATTTTTCTAGAGTTTCCCAAACGGATTTATGAATATCAACGTCACTTCACTTCGACTACTTATAAACTGCTTTGATTTTAATTTCTCTTGGGCATTGTTGGATTTATTGCTTCGTTCCAGAAAAGCGGCGCCCAGCAGACCAACAGCCACCCTGTGGACCCGAAGCTCATCTACCATGTGCCCGGGGTTGTGGACAACCACGCTGACGGCGCTTACAAAGACGAACTGTACAGCGCGCACTCTCCTGACCGCTTAAGTCAGAGCAGTGACTCAACTCCAGGAAGTGGAGACTCGGCAACGGCCGTCGCGTCCCCGGAGATTTCCCGCGGTGCGGATGGAGCCGTAGAGAAGGCCTCCGAGGCTTTAGTCGACCCGTCATCCCCTTTTCTGTACTACCCAGGATCCGTATATCCACCTTCTTCCGTGCCCCTGCCCTACCATCCTGTATCGACGTACCCTTACGAGATTCCTTACGTGATACCCGGACATCACCCGTTCCACCCGGTGACAGGGGCGCACCCCGTTGGCATCTACCCGCACGGGTTTCACCCTGGCGGTTTGTTCCCAGAGCTTACGTACCTTCCTCCCCTACCGCCTCCGCCGCCTGGCTATCCGCCGTTGCCGCCTCTTCCGGGCCACCCGCAACTACCGCCTTCACCTAGGCCACTGCCACCTCCGAGACAGCCCGCTCCTCCGCGAAGTCCCTTCCCACCACCGAGGCTACCATCGCCGCAACCTCCGAGACTGCCTCCTCCGAAAAGGCCAACGTTGCTGCCACCGCCAAGGCCACTGCCACAACTCCCGCCGAACCCTATTCCTCCACCAAGACGACAGCCGCAGCCGCTTCCGCAACCAAGACCCCTACCCAGGCCACAGCCGCAACCCCAACCTCGACCCCAACCCCGACCCCAGCCCCGGCCACTTCCACCACCCCAGCCGCAGCCACCTCAGAGGCCGGCGACTCAGCCTGTGCCGGTTCCAATACCCGATGATGGCGGCGACGAGATCGCTGACCCGCAGTCGGATCCGCCGGTTCTATCTGCAGAAAATGCTCCCGCTCAAGACACGGATGAGGTTTTCAGGCGTGGCTTTCTGCCGTCTCCCGCTGGCAGACGGAGATTAGGAGATGTCAAGACGTCCCTGGAAGACCTGTTCCATTCGAACGAGCCGCAGCCTGTCAACGAAAACCCCACGTTTGCTTACTACATCGACCAGGAACCCAGAGTTTGATCGTGCTGATCAACTTTTTAGGTGACTGATAATTTGCATCCGTTGTAGTACTTTGAAAAAAGAATGGAAGGAAGGTCTTAAATTCCAAACAGTAACCGCTCAATTTTTGTTTGCTATTTATGCTGGACTCGTAGAATGACAGTTTTAAAAACCCAAAAGTGGTTCCAGAAGGTTAGCGCTCTCGTAGGCGAGCCAGACTCGACAATTCTAGTATTTGTTTTTCTAGGCTGTCCGAGAGGTATTCGAGCTATCACTGCCGCTTGATGCAACTTAAGGACCCCGGGTGAGCTGTCATACTGCACTGCTCAAATCGCATCCCTACAGTGGAGATACAGGTCAGCTTATTTCAAGACACTGCCCGCTGTCGAAACATCTATTCAACCAATCTGAGTACCTAACATTTAACGTTCCAAGCCTCACTTCCATAATCGTGTGAGCATTATTTCGGGAACAACAGTCGAGAAATAGGACAACAATCCGTCAATCAAGCGATCAAACGAATAAAGAAAACGTGTTGAGGTAAACGCATATTAAAACCCAAGACGAAGGGCAACTCAAGGGGGAAAAAAAGAACGTAGGACAAACACAAAAACAGCGCCTCCAGCACGTTGAGATGAAATGTTTGCCTTGACCTCAGCCCCCACCGTATTTGCAGCAGTTGACATCGATAGCATAGGTCAGGGGTGGCCAAACCGCGGCTCGCGAGCCGCATGCGGCTCTTTGCTGGTCCAAGTGCGGCTCGCAGATCCCTCGTAAGAGGACCCCCCCTCCCCTTCGCGCCCATTCCGCGTTTCCCCAGGAAAACAAAGAAAGGATTTCAGAATAAAGCGCGCCTTGCGGTTTGGCAGCCTTGTGCCCCCAAACGCACAGTCAGACTGAACAAAATTTAAGTTCGTCCACCCCCCCCCCCCCCTCCCTTCTCGCGGCTCTTAGAAGTTTCGTGGTTTCGTTTGCGGCTCTTAGGCCGGGTCAGCCTGGCCACCCCTGGCATAGGTCAATAAGCAAAAGGCGTTTTCTATATAGCCATGTTTGTAGCCCTTACTAAGGACAGTGCTCCCATCTGTGTTATAAGGGAGTCTAGGCAGCCATCTTGACTTCAAACGGGCGCTTCAATACTACTGCTACGGTCACTACGTTAGGGGGTGGTGTGCAGGACTTAATACTGGTTTGAAGGATGTTCTGGAATCTGCTTGCAGACGTACCGTCGTTGGCAGTAAGCGATCTGACGAGGGCCATCGGCTGTGCGATGAAAGGAATTCTATCATTGCTGGAAGAATGTGAGATTTACACCTCCTACAAGGGCATAACAGAAGTGCCTGGAACGCATCTCCCACTGACACCTGTTTAGTTTGTCCGCTGAATCTCCGTCTGGTGACGTCATATTGAGCTTCCTGTTCGGTCGTTGCGACACTGCGCGTAGTTGCCGGAATCGTTCGGCGCGTTTCGCGTTGGGAGCAGAACATGGAAGCGGCATGCTAAGTACCAGCTAACCAGCCGACGGAGCCTCCAGCAGTCTCGGCTTCGAATGCCTCCATGCCAACGACCCTAATGTTCATTCACCTGCTGCGTTTCCAAATCTACGATCAACCTCCAGAATCGAGACGATCTGACCTGTTTCTCGCAGGCCTCGGTGACGTCATTGGTTGACCTTTAAATGAACGCTCCGATTCATGGGACGCATCGAACGCTAAATACACCAGTGACAAACATTTAGAGCACACCATATCACTGCTCCGGGTTGCGCTTTTAAACGTTATGCTCTCGTGTGTACTGTTTAAAGCTTCAGTACGTATCCATAAACATATAAAAGTCAGCGTCGTGTGCCGAAATCGCAGCAAAGCACTTAACAAAGCGGGTGTGCTTACCGTGCGCTCCACAGGGTGTTTAATTTTGATTCAAACATATTAAAAAAAAAAAAAGTGAGAGTTAGACGAGTGCCACCTTCACCAATTCCTTAACAGGCTCGGAGGCCTTTAGATGAGGGGATAATCGTCATGGTAAGTTAGCTAGTTAACTAAAATGTATTAATTAACTGTTTTAATTATCGGTTTTTGGAGTCATGTTACAATTGCGGTATTGAAGGTAATTACAATTAGAGGCCAGACCAAGTGAAAGAATTTGCGAAAATGTGGAAATTTGGAAATAACAATTGATAAATTTTTGAATTTTTTTTATTACCGATTTTTTTTTTCTGTTACGGATAATTACCGTCACGCCTATATCGCCCCAGTGATACACGCGTGACGAAATTTACCTACAGCGTGCAATTCGCGTAACAAGTGTCGATGAAACGATAATGTCGACGAAACTTGTGTCCATGAAAAGTTGTCCACCAAGCGTAACTCCACGAAACGAGTTTCGACGAAATGATAGGGACCCCGTATACAAGACAAAAACAGTAAAATATTGTGACAGAGCGGTCGTTTTTAAAAAAATTCTGAGCGTGCGGGCGTTTCCCTAGACATGATTTTCTATTTCCAAGCACACGGCGATCAAGTCAATCTCGGCCCGGCTTGGCACAGGTTCTTCTGTAAATATCGGCCGACGTAGCTAGTTTACCGTTTACGTCACCGTTATTAAAATACTTTTGATGCTGATGCCATGAACGCGCCAGCCAGCATTGAAAGTAAGGTTGTATTTACACCATTCCAGGATCCTCTTGCCTTCAACAAACGAGGCTGACATTTCCCTCTACGTCTCTTTCTGAACATGTTTTATTTGCTTAGCTGGGACCTCAGGCAAACGCTTATAGATGAAGTCCCCAGAGAGCTCAGTCTAGAGACGTTCTGCTTTTATTCAGGCTTGCTTGGAATGCCGACTTGTCCGCGATACCACAACTCGGGCGAGCAAAAGTATTCACAGCCAACCTTCAAGCCCCCTCCCCCTATCCCCCCCCCTTCCATTTTCTTGTCCCCTCTCCCCCTCCTAGTGAGAAAAAAAAAACAAAAAAACATATAAATCTTTAGAACTAGTTGACCGAGTTTCGAAACGGAATGCTATCGAGACAGTGAAATTTAGTTTGATTTTCTTTTTTCGCATTTCCAATCTGGTTTTATGCCCTTGTTTCAAGGGCATTTCGAAGGCCTTTAGACCGAGTGCTTGTGTAGACCGTATTTTTTCGCGGGCAGCGCCATTTTGAATACAACAGCGCCACCTGGAATGCGTCGGATTTTGCGGCCGCGCTGGTTGGAGGCGGAAGCTGACCTCTTTCATCTGCCATTGACGTGGGAAAGTGACGATGTCCGATGAAATACGCCATAATCACCATCCGGATCTTTCTCCCGTTTGCCCCAACCCAGCAAGGAGGAAAGCGCGCGGCAGCCCTTTCCCACTTCTCTCTGGCCCTCTTTCACTAAAATGGACTGCCGGAACATGCAGAGTTGCGCGCGCGGAGTCGGGATCACGAGCTTACTTGCGGACTCCGTGAAGTCTTCAGTCTGAAAGCTTTTGTAATACAAGTGAAAGGCGATTGCTGTCACAGTTCTGGACAGGAGATCGGCTCACGCCCGGTGTGGGTCTTTCCTCTTTCCCACAGGGGACCCCACTACGCACTTCAACTCCCCAAGCATCGCCAACGCCGGCGTGGAACGCAGTCTGGCTCCGGAGCCCCGGCAACCAACGTCGGCTTCCGCCTCATTTCACTTCTGCACTTCGAGTCGCTCGGTTTTGTGTTCATCGATGTCCCAGTTGTGTACATATATCGCGCGTGTTCGCGCTTTCTGAGTAGCATGTATTATTTTAATCTTCATTCGTAGCTTCTGTTCTATTTCTCAACGAATATACATTTTCCGCCTCTTCCCTCTTTCAATCTGCCATTTCCCATTTGTACGACGAACAACAAAAAGTTCAAGTTAGGTTTTTCTGCGGTCTCGGCATGGACCACGCGGATGATGCTCACAACGTTCACAATTTTTGCGAGGCGTGTCCTCGGACGTATTTTCCTTTTTCTTCTTTATGTTTTACTGTATACTTGTGTAACGTTAAAACAAGTACAAATTTAAAGCGAGTGCCGATCACGTGCTCGCGTTGAATTGTCTCGATTGTTTGGACTCTTGGAAAGTCCCAAATAAACCCGGAGTGCGTCTTGCTTGTTGTCTTTGTTTTCACCTGTGATATTCAATTAACTTCTGAGAACTTACATACAGGCTGTTCGAAGCTATGTTTTGCACATTTTGTTGAAAAACGAAACTGTGGGAGGTATGCGAAATCTGTTTTTGCACCTAGGTTATGCTCTCAGGTGGACAGTAAAGGTTGACTCACACACTTGCGATCGGGTGTCACGTCAGAGGGTTGAGTTGATGTATATTTTTCACCTTGAGCTTGAACAACTTTTGAAAACGTTATGAACGACTGTTTCTCATAGGTAGCACGTACATTTTATCTGGTAAATACTGCAAATCCTTCACCCTAGTTCAATTGAGTTGCAGGGCTACTTCATAGATGGTGCCAGTGTGTGCCTGTTCTCTCGTCGTGAAGTAATACTACAACGTACTCGGTTGCGACCAAAAGCAGGTGTGTGAACTAGCCCCAAGTGAAAGGGTAATCGTGGCCGTCAATTTCCTAATTAACAAACATCAATTAATAAACGTTTCAATTACTGTAATGCGGGTATGAGTTTGTATCTGAAACTTCAGGGGGGCCGTATTCAGAGACTTCAATTTTGTACAATTCTCGTAACCAGCCCGTGTGCCGAGATATCCGTCTCCCAATTTGCCATCCAATCCTGCTATAATGACGCATAAAAAAAATTTTTAAAAAAGACGCGGAGACCGGCGCAAACACCCTTCCCGCTGTGACTCAGGTCGTTGAGTGTGACATTCCGTCGGGTCGGAGCTGATAACAGTTCTTCACCAGCCGAGAGCGAGAAAATAACTTTTATCAGCTCCGCCCCGTCGTCATACGGAATGTCGTACGACCTGCATCAAACCGGAGAGGGTTTTTACGCCGATCCTCGTAATTTTTTATGCGTGATTAGCCGCACTTATATAGAAAAAGAAATT